CGGTGTTGCAGGCTGTGGTGCAAGTTGAACCTCTCACGCCCCTGGTTCAGACAGTACATAACCATATGATACGGCATGTGACATGTGGTCCATCTCGTGCGCTCGCGTATAATATGCTCGCGTCGATGAAGAAGCTTGGTCTTCAACTGGGTCGCCTGACATCACTGCTCTGTCTGCCGCATGCCGCGTCCGCCTCGCCTGAGAATGCCCTGGTGTTCGAGAGTGCCGGGTGGAGCTCAAGCGGGTTGTTGACAGTGACGCTGTTTGCTTTGCGCGCGTCGTCAACCCCAAAGGTTGGTACAAACAGTCGTTCTCACCCAACCTGTTTCAGACTACTCAGCTTGTGGACGGTATTGTGCACCCCATGGGTTTGAAGCCCCACGATTCCCAGAGGAAGCTGTCTGCCCGTTCTCACGCGTTACCTCTTACCTCTCCCAGGGCCGAAGGTGTGTGCGAAGGTTTTATCTGCGAAATGCTGCTGCGATTTTTCCGTACATGGCCATGAGTTGTTTCAGAACCTGTATTCGTGGTGTGTATTCGTGCTCGTTACCACTCCCCTTCTCGTGGCCGTATCTATGGGTGCACTCACAGTGAGTATGACTTCGACCTGTCTAGGGACTATGACGACCTTCGTCATTACAAGTTTCCTCCATCGCTTTCGCGAGCTATATGTCCGACGGATGGGTATACAATGTTTATTGCCCCTGCTCTGATTCCGTGGACAGCCACTCTTATACAACTCTCTTTCCTCCCCCTAATGCGTCGCTGCTGTGCGCCTGCATGTGTGGCGTTTCGTTTGCATTCTCACCATTCGGCAACATTCTGCCTCCCTAGCACGACAATGTAAGCGTTTGAAGTACGCTTGCGACGGCTCACTCGTAGGCATAAAGCTGTGGCTGATGCGTGGGACCAGGTCGGGACTGGGCCTGGATGGTACGCTCCTGCGTGACAGCCGACAAGCTGTTGAGGCTGCCGCCGTTGCTGGTGTAGTGTGGTGTTGGGCGGGTTCTTTGTGTATACAAGAGACGCTTGGCTTTGATCCAAAGTTCAGCAGCGACCCGGCGTTCTGCATGTGAGGGCAAACTTATGAAGCCGACATGTCAAAATAAGCCCGATAATGCGAATGGCGAATCAGTTGCCCTGCGTTACGGCGCCTTGTCCTTGGGGCCACGCAATGCGGGCAACGTGGCTATGTTCGTCGTAGCCCTAAGCCAGGTCCGCATCGTCGCACGCCTCCATGATGATTCACTACCTCGTGCCAGCTGTATTTGAGCAACCGTAGTGTTGCACCGAAGCGCTGTAGTGTAGGTGAATGTCTCTTGCGCATCGGCAGGCGCGAAGACGAAGGATGGGTATGTCAGCCATCTTTCTTCTGGCCCGCTACACGGCTACTTACTGCACTGTCGCGCGATACTTAGTCACGCCAGCATGCTCTCCAGAGCACGCCACAGGGCAAGCAAGAACACCCGCACTTGATTCAAGAAGTCGACAGGCCATTTGCCAAAGCAGTGCCACATTGCTTACATGCAGGCGGCCGCTCCACTGGGAGCACACAACCAGGCCATCCAGGGGCTTGGCTGCGGAGACCATGGCGTGCCGAGGAACAAAAATATGTTCCGCATTGCCATCGCGACGCTGTAGCCGGCTCCCTGCTCGACTGCCAGCCCGACGCCCACGTCAACCCGCACTCCGTCCGTCCTTTCCGCACAGCGAATCTGGCCTCTGGCTAAGAGCGGAATTCGTCCCTGGCGGCCGGTTTTGCTGCGCGCAGGGCTAGTGATTCCCCTAATCGATTGTTTGCCAGGGTCTTCGATAGAAGCGTTGAGGCCGGAGGTGAGCTTTTCTGGATGCCGGATCAGTCGCCCGTGGTCTCCCGTATTGTCCTCCGCATGGTCTCCCGAATTGTCTCCCGTGTGGTCTCTGATCTGTTTTTGTTTTGGTTATCTCTTGTGTGGTCTGTTTTGTTGTCTCCCTTGCACCCTTGTGGTTTTTCCCATAGTAAGCATGTTGAACTTCCTGTTGGTTTTCGTGTTCACCATTCTCGAGTGTACTCTCTGTGTGACTTTTCACTCTCAGTCGCGCTTTCAATATTGCCCTTTCAGTTTCCCACAGAGCTGGTTAGGGTATTCTGCCGCCAAGGGTGTAATTTAGAAGTTCGTGCCAGCGCCCTGGTGCAATTTTGACTGCACGAATCTCGCAGCCCTCTGGTTTGAGCGTCTGAGTGATGCCCTCAGCGGCTCGCAGAAGTGGGCGGGACGAGGGAGGGCGGCGCTCCAAGAAGACGGGGTGCTGTTCAGAAACCATCCATGTTTCGAAGAAGCCGTCCCAGAAGCGTGCCGAAAAAGGGCAGACCCCTTTCAGGAAGCCCCCTGTCAGAAGGCCGTCCCACTCGCCCTGGCCCTCATCAAAACCTGCCCAAATCGGCACCCTGGACCCCTCCCAGAGTCCATCCTGGCCCATGTCTCGAGATCTCTCCAGCCGAGGCGACGAGGTCCTCCAGAGACGCCCGAGAACCTTGAACGATTCGTCGTCAATCACTCTCCTCCGACCTTGGCTATTTTTCGTGATGCAAGCCCCTGCTGGCTGACTAATCCGCTCTGAGCGCGGTGCAGCGCGCGATTGGGAGCTGGCAGTGGCCGCTTGGAGTCGGGCTTGGAGCGATTGCCGAAGGCAGCAAGTTGCGATAGCCAATTGCTGCTCCTTGCTCGCATGCCATCTCGTGCAAGACACTCTCGCTCGCTCGCGGGCCCCCGGGCAGTCGACCCCCTGCCCTGGCCCTGGCTCTTCATCCTCGGCCGTATTTTGCCGGGCTCAGAGCCCAGGAGCGGCCTCCAGAAGCTGATTGCACGCTACACAACCGGCGCCGTCACGCTTGCGTCTTGCGGCGCCAGAGGCCTGAGGGGCACGGCCAAGACGTTGAAGGCAAGGACCACTTCGGGCCCAAGAGGGGCTCCGATTTGCGGGCTGCTCCTCACGTTTGAGGTCGGGGGACCTACATTCGTGGCCGAGGCTCGCAGTGGCTAGACGAGCCCCATTCGTTCCTTGTTCCTCGTTCCTCTTTCGAGGAACGAGACGTTGAGCATGACCAAGATGTCGCGGGATCTTGTCCACGCCGATCTTGGTCATGGTCCATGCCGACCGTCGCCGATTCGCGAGGACTGCCCGCGAATCGACGGTGACCAAGCTGGACGGTGATCGACACCGACGGTTCCGCCTACCGTCTTCCCTTACCTCCACGAACGGCAGCACGATGGCTGCACTGACCGCGCTCGGCCCGCGGCCGCCCGCGGGCCATCTCGGCGATTGCCCCCCCCGCGGGGGCCGACCGCTCCCGCGCGGCCCGTTCGCGCCCCCGCCGGAGGCCGCCCAGGTGAGCGCCAGGGCGCGACCGACAGCGCCGGTTGGGAGGGCTGGCTGCCAGAGGCGCCTCGGGGAGGGGGGGGGGCAACGTCAGGGGGGGATACGGTCGAATTTGATCAGTAGGCAGGAGCGTGCGGCCTCGCTATTGGAGGCCCATCGCGTATCTAGGCCGATGTATCCGCCGATATATCAGCCATGCCCTGCCCTGAACTTTCCCCCCTTATCATTTCCACTGGGAGAGGGGGAGAATCCGGGGATTTTGTTTCCAGGAGGTGTTCCAAGCCTGGGCTGTGTTCCTCCAGCTGCGCCTCGCCGAGAGCTTGAGATTTCTGGAGGTGCCCAAATCGTCCCGAAAGGCGGCCTCCCCCTCCATCCTCCCCAGTATTCATCCTCCGCACGTTCTTCTTCCACTGCGTAGTTCCCCTTGACATCACTCTCATGCTCGTCCTCTTCATCATCACTCCGCCTTCCTTCTCGCCCATCCTCGATGTCGTGCACCTCCTCCTCCTCCTCCTCCTCCTCCTCCTCCTCCTCCTCCTCCTCCTCATGCCACCTCCTCATGACACCTTTTCCTCTTGTTCCTGGTTACACTGCCTATACTCCTGGTTTTCCTGCCTATACTCCTGGTTATCATATTGTTTCTTCTGCCTATACTCCTGGTTATCCTCGTCCATCCTCAATGTCGTGTTCCTCCTCCTCCCCCTCCTCCTCCTCCTCCTCCTCCTCCTCCTCCTCCCCTCCCCTCCTCCCTCCTCCTCCCCCTCCTCCTCCCTCCTCCTCCCTCCCCCTCCTCCTCCTCCTCCGCCGCCTCCTCCTCTCCTCCGCCTTCCTCCTCCTCCTCCTCCTCCTCCTCCTCCTCCTCCCCTGCCGTTGCTCCTGGTTATCATCTTGTTTCTCTTGCCTACACTCCTGGTTATCCTCGACCATCCACAGTGTCGTGTTCCTCCTCCTTTCTTCTCCTCGTCCTCTCGTCCCCTCCTCCTCCTCCTCCGCCTCCTCCTCCTCCTCCTCCTCCTCCTCCTCCTCCTCCCCTCTTCCCCATCTCCTCCCTCCTCTCCTCCTCCTCCTCCTCCTCCTCCTCCCTCCTCCTCCTCCTCCTCCTCCTCCTCCGCCCCCCCCGGCCGCCGCCGCCGCCGCCTCCGCCTCCTCCTCCCCTCCTCCTCCTCTCCTCCTGCCTCCTCCCCTCCTCCCCCTCCTCCCCTTCCTCCCCCCTCCTCCTCTCCTCCTCTTCCTCCTCTCCTCCTCCTCCCTGCTCCTCCTGCTCTCCTCTCTCATCATCCTTCTTCCTCCTTCCTCCTCCTCCTCCCTCCTCCTCCCTCTTCCCCCCTCCCCCTCCCCCCCTCCTCATCCTTCTCCTCCTCATCATCCTTCTCATCCTCCTCCTCCTCCTCCTCCTCCTCCTTCCGTAGCCATTTTGGCTCAAGCCATTTTGGCTCAAGCCATTTTGGCTCAAGCCATTTTGGCTCAAGCCATTTTGGCTCAAGCCATTTTGGCTCAAGCCGCACTAACGATCTCGCTGTGAGCCTGCCCTGGCCTCAGCGATTACAACAACTAACGACTTGAAAGCCGTTCTGCTACTTTTGTACCGTTGCATGCGATGGGGCCTCCTGGCGCCGGCAAGCGTAGCGGCACCCGTGCTGATGGCGGCGGCGACGCTGGTTCACCCTCGAGCCGGTCTTCTTCCGAACGCAGCACCTCCCGCAGCGAACAACGTCGTCGTGATCAGCAACGCCGCCGTCAGCGGCAGGGGGGCGGCTGGGACCAGGGCGCTCGTGATCCTGGCCGGGCTACCTCGGGGCTTGCTGGCGGATCCTCCGCGGCTGACGCCCGCCCCGCCCTGTCCGCAGCGGAGTTTGAGGCCCTTGAAGCTATGTCCACGTTCCCGACGCAGGAGGCGGTCGCCATACACAGCCACCAGTCTTCGACGCCGGGTGGACCCGATCCATGGGCTGCATCTGCTGCTGGTCTTGGCGCTCCTCCTGCTCGTGCGCCCCCTCGCTCGGCTGTTGGCCCCGCGCAGGTGCCTCCTGCTCAGGCCCATGGTGCCGCTGTCGGAGCTACCTCACCGGGCCTCAATGTCCAAGATATCTCGCGGCTGGTCGCCAACGAGATCCAGACGCACACAGCCACCATCACAGCGCAGGTACAGACTGTGGTCACGAACACGATGGTTGCAGTGCAGGGCACCATTGTCTCCCAGCTACAGCAGCACTTCGAGCCCACGGTCCGCCGCGTTGACGGCCATGATGGCGACATTCGTGCACTCCAGCAGCAGCAGCAGCGGCTTGACGATGAAACACGTGAGCTTCGAGCTTCCATCAATCGGCTCAACGAGCGGCTGGCTTTGGGAGAGCAGCAGGCCTCTGCTATCGACCTGTCCCGTCTTGCCGACTTCGACCGCGACGCCCACCCGAACGTTTTCACCATCAACGCCAAGTACGACGTCGCCCCCGACCGGGTCTCACGCTCGCTTGATGAGTGGATCTCTGCCTCCGGCGTCAGCCGCGACGACATCATCATCCACGGCGATGGCCCCTCCCGCCGTTTCGTTCTGGAGGTCTCGGGCGGGCCCGCCGGTGTCTCCAAAGCGGTGGAACTGGCTAAGGCTCTGCGTCTTCCTGGTGGCCGTTGGCGGCGCTTCGATGCAACGTTCGTCAATGGCTCCACGGGACCCCTCTTCGTGGGTCCTGACAAGGCCCCCAAGCAGATCCGCCGCGAGCAGCAATCCAAGCGGCTGGCTGCCATCTGTGCCGAGAAGGTCCCGAATCTTACCTGGAGCGCCATCCGCCCCCGCGGCCTCGTGCAGGCGGATGGCCAGCCGGTGGTGGAGGTGGGAGTGCGCGGTGCCACAGAGCCATCCCGTCTCCTGTGGAACCAGGTGGTGGTGGCTCAGCTTAACATCGACAGGGAGGCCATCGACAGCGCCTTCCTGCGCGCCTACGCGGGCTACGACACCAGCACTTGGTCGTGGTCCTAACCTCTGGGGTCGCCCTTGGCTCATCTCGTCTTTGGAGGCTCGTCGTCCTTCCGACCATCTGCAGGTCATCACGTGGAATGCACGCGGTCTGTGCTGCCATCGCTCTTCTTCACGACGCTCCAAAATGGCGAGATTGGAAAAGTTTTTAAAAGCTAGGGCAATCATATTACTCCAGGAAGTGCATGGCTCTGTTCATGACATCGAATTCCTTCCCCGGCAGTACCCCTACGAGTACACGACATTTTTCAGCGGTTGTGATTCTCCTGGGAGTGGTGGCGTTGCCATTCTCGTTCCTTGGTACAGTCAGGACCAGCTTCATCAGCTACCCCCTGGGTCGATTCCTACGTTTACCCCCAAACGTTTGGTTGACGGCCGAGTCCTCGGACTCCACATTCGCGGACATGGTCAAGAAGTTCGTCTTCTCAACGTTCACAATCATGATCTTTCCCCTGATCATCGTCAGCGTGTTCGTCGGTATTGGCATGCTTGCACGCGATGGGCTGCTGCTGACGAGCGTCGGCGTCTCTTTCTCTCCTTGGGGGACTTCAATGTCTCCGACGTGGCACCTGCCTCTCTACTTCGGCCGACTGCTCGTCGACACGTGGAGGATCGTGGTCAACATCATCAGCCTTTTTGGAGAGCTCTGTTCGACCACGGTGTGGTGGAGATTACTTCATCATTGCCGACACACTACTGCCGCGACACGGAAACATGCAGCACGCTCGACAGGGCGTTTGTCTCGCTCTCCCCGGCCTTCCTCCTGGAAACGGAAGCTGCTCTAACAGTGCAGCAAGAGGCACCGCAGCTAGCCGACTGGAAGTTGAGTGACCACGCTATCTTGTCGCTGACGCTGCGTCCTCGACGGCCCCGCGCGCAACGTGAACGAGGCATCCCAGACTTTGTCTTCCGCTCTCGCCACTACCCTGAAGTCCTTCACGAATACATGAGCTGCGTTAACTGGGACGCGATGGGCTCGTACGACCGTTGGGCGCTCACGAAGGACCTGATGGTGCGTGCTGCCGCTGCGGTTCGGGACCGCCTCCAACGTCTCCCTATCACATCTAGTGCAGACGGGGCTGAGGACAGTCGTCGGCTCACATTGCGGAGCATTGCCAGAGCGATTTGGCAGCAGGACCTCACTTTGGCCACCACCCTCATCAACACCACCGCGTACGGGACACGTTTCCTTCACATTGATGGCGAGGCTGTTCACCTTGTCGATGGTGCTGACTTTCGAGATCTGGTCTGCACGGTCTATACGCAATGGCATCAAAGACAACAACACTATGCTGCCGCGCACGCCCGGGCTGGTAATCCGTTCTCCCGCGAGGATGCCTGCCTCAGTCGTGAACAGTGGCGAAAGGTGCAGGCCACTTCTCAACGCCGCGCTCGACTATGGGCACCCATGAGGAAACAGCTGATATTGAACGGCATTCGGCACAACAATGCTGGCCACACTGCGGATACACAAGTCTTGGAGTCTGATGGCCTTGGAGACGCAGCTGACGTCCGACCACGCCCGACTGCCGTTACGACGGGGGGCCTTTGCCACGATCAGGATGGTGATGGCGCAGCATCTCGCGCGCGGCGAAATTCGCGCAGAGGTCTTGTCAGGCGCGCCGGCCATCTTGTCTCAACCTGTGCCTCAATTTTCTCCTCTGCTCCTATTTTGCCTGAAGCCTTGGATGTTGCAGCTGTGGTGGACAGTATTGCCCAACCCGTGGATGGAGATGGTGCAGCTGCTGGTGAAGGCCCCGGGGTGGCTCGAGATCCTGCTGACATGGCTGCTGCTTTGTCTCATCATTGGGCTCGTGTGTTTCAAGCCAAATCTGTTCCTGCTGACGAACTCTCCCCTTATCTCGCTTTGCACCTCCCTCGCTATGAACGTCCTCTGCTTCCTCTCCCGTCGAAGGCTGACCTGCGGCGTGCTCTCCGCCTTGGCAAGGCAAGTGCACCCGGCCCCGATCGCCTTCCGTATCGCGCCTGGCTGGCGAACGAGGATGCGACTGAAGCTTTGTATTTGATTATGCTGGACATCTTCAGCGGCCGGGGATCGCCACCAGGCTTCAACCACTCCCTGATGTGTTTCATACCGAAGGACGAACTACCCGAGGATTTGGTCGATGTGGTACGCTTTCCTGACGTGCTGCGGCCGCTTACTTTGAAGAACAGCGACTCGAAGGCCGTGGCATCTACGATCAACTCCTACCTTCGACATGTTGTTGAAAGCCGCTGCCACCCCTCCCAGAGAGGTTTTCTCCGCGGCCGCCAGTTTACTTCACACATTGTGGAACTGGACGCCGCTGCCAGGAGGGCGGCGCCCGACTGCCGTTACGACGGGGGGCCTTTGCCACGATCAGGATGGTGATGGCGCAGCATCTCGCGCGCGGCGAAATTCGCGCAGAGGTCTTGTCAGGCGCGCCGGCCATCTTGTCTCAACCTGTGCCTCAATTTTCTCCTCTGCTCCTATTTTGCCTGAAGCCTTGGATGTTGCAGCTGTGGTGGACAGTATTGCCCAACCCGTGGATGGAGATGGTGCAGCTGCTGGTGAAGGCCCCGGGGTGGCTCGAGATCCTGCTGACATGGCTGCTGCTTTGTCTCATCATTGGGCTCGTGTGTTTCAAGCCAAATCTGTTCCTGCTGACGAACTCTCCCCTTATCTCGCTTTGCACCTCCCTCGCTATGAACGTCCTCTGCTTCCTCTCCCGTCGAAGGCTGACCTGCGGCGTGCTCTCCGCCTTGGCAAGGCAAGTGCACCCGGCCCCGATCGCCTTCCGTATCGCGCCTGGCTGGCGAACGAGGATGCGACTGAAGCTTTGTATTTGATTATGCTGGACATCTTCAGCGGCCGGGGATCGCCACCAGGCTTCAACCACTCCCTGATGTGTTTCATACCGAAGGACGAACTACCCGAGGATTTGGTCGATGTGGTACGCTTTCCTGACGTGCTGCGGCCGCTTACTTTGAAGAACAGCGACTCGAAGGCCGTGGCATCTACGATCAACTCCTACCTTCGACATGTTGTTGAAAGCCGCTGCCACCCCTCCCAGAGAGGTTTTCTCCGCGGCCGCCAGTTTACTTCACACATTGTGGAACTGGACGCCGCTGCCAGGAGGGCGGGAGGACACGAGGATGCCGCCGAGCGCATGCCATGCTTCCTCTCCTACGACGTGCAGGCCGCCTTCCCCTCCATGAACTGGCAGTGGATAGCCGCAGTCTTGCTCCACCACTGCTTGCCGGCTGGCTACATATGTGCGATCTGGGCTTTGTATCACGATTTGCAGGTCAGCGCTTGGTTTGGTGACGAATTCCGGTACTTATTCCAGGTCTCCGCTGGAGTTGCCCAGGGGCGCCCACTGTCCGGAACTTTGTGGGCATTGTGCTTCGACGCCTTCCTGTTCCACATCGCCGAGGGCATCGACGCTAGCGAACCGCCGTGCGACCATCTGGATGCCGGGGCGTGCGCCGACGATGTTGGAGTTGTACTGCCTTGTCTGAGCCAGGCTGCCCGGATTGAGCCAGTGTTTCTGGCTGCGCGCCGCCTCGCCTGTCTTTGTTTGCAGCCTAAAAAGTGCGTTGTGGTCCCATTGTGGACTGCATGCTGTGCCGCCGTCGCTTCAGCTATCTCCTCTCTCCTCTCGGTCGTCGCTCCCCTCTTCTCCTCTTTCTCCATTGCTGGCCTCGCCAAGTATCTCGGCATCTTGTCCGGTCCTGCGGCCACCCTCGAGGCCCAGTGGGAAGCAGCAGCATCAAAGCTGGGCTTTCGGACCCGCCTCGTGGCAGCAACCCGGTCGCCGTCGGCGGCCTCTTGCCGCACGTACAACTCCTCGATTCTCTCCGTCCTCTCCTACCTCTGTCAGTTCTTTCCCCTCCCTTCCTCCCTCCTTTCCAAAGAGCCCCGGTTTGTTCATAAACTGCTTCGGCTGCCCCCGAATACGTTCAAACGAGACGAGCTGCTGTCTTTGAATGCCTGGATCCCTGGTCCCGGCCCAGCGTCGATGGCTGTTCTTGCCTGCGCTTCGGCATGGAGGTTTGCGGCCCACACTTATGGCCCCAGGGTTCGGCAACTCTCTTTCGAATTAGGGGAATTTGCAGTGGCACGGGCCGCTGGTCCGATTTATTCGCCAAGAATGGAGCCCTCCGTGTTGGCAGCGAGAACAGAGTATCGCACAGTTCCTCGTCTCGGTCTTGGACTGTGTGCCGCGCTATTCGCTTCGCTTGGACCAGCTTCGCGATGCCGTTGCTGCCGGCACGAAGGAATTAGCCGTCGCTGCTGTCGCCTCTCGCCATCCGAGGCCCCAGCGTGCGTTCGCCCAGGCCCTCACCCGCCTCGTCTTCCCCGATGTTCTCCCCTCTCTCCTCCTTCGAAGGTTGAGGGCCTGGCTCCCTGAGGTGCCCCTTCCCCCGCTGAGTGACTTGGCCCATCGTTGGGCTTTGCTCCGTGGTGTGCTCTCCCGGTCCAAGCCCAGCTGGGGGCTTGGGCCCACTTGAAGACTCTCGCAGGGGGTTGGGTCACCTCAGGTCGTATGCCCGTGCTGGGCCAGCGCCGCTGCTTGTTAGGGTGCGAGGATGGTCTCGATCGGTGGCCTCATTACCTGGCCTGCCCACGTCTCCTCCGCCTCCTCGCCCGTCCGAGGCTCTTCCTCCCCTCTTGCCCCCTGGCCCGTCTCGGCCTTGGCCTCGATTCAGATTATGATTCGCAGGTCACCCGAGAGACCACTCATCGCTTAGTCGTGCTTAGTTTTCACTTCTACCATAAACTCAAGGCAGAGCATGAGGCCTCGCCTTCCCGTTGTGGCGACCTTGAGGCCCACCTGAGGCTCCTGCGTGCCACGAAGCTGGCCATCAGCGCCTCTCGATAACCGAACCATGCCCTTATGAGTTACGTGCGCTCCTCCTCCTCCTCCTCCTCCTCCATCCTTCTCTTGCCTCCGTCTGTCCTCCTCCACCCCGCAGCTCCATCATCTCCTC